CAAAAGTCGCCGGTTCGATTTGGTTCGGTGTTTTAATTGTGATAATTTTTCTGGAAAATTTAAAAAATTGAAAATTCCACTCATCACTGGTGCGTAATCCATCCATGCATCCATGTTTCGAAACAAATTCACTCATTTCGTTTCGTTTAATTTTTGGTAAGGCAGTTCCTACTCGATTCGCATGTCTTGAGTCATAAAAATTGTTTTTTGCTTTGTTTTGTTTTGTTTTATTAGCATCTTTGTTTTTGTTGTTGATGCTGTAATCTTACTATAGCACCATTTTATTATTGTTAACCGAATCATCGGCACTTAAGAAGCAAACTTTTCATTTTTTAGTGTGTTTGAGAGATTCTGTAAGTGAAATAATAAAAAATAAAAAATGTTTAATGGCTTTTCTCATATTACACTTTTTTAGCAATTCTTGGCCAGTTTATCTGTGATTTGGCCTCATATCATGGATCAAAGTTCACCACTTGAGTTTAATTCTTCAAAAAAATCTCAAGTTTTTCTTTTAAACACTATTGATGCGGCTTTTCTCTGTGAACTGTTGTCCCCTTTCAATACTCAGAAAAGGGTTGATTCTCTCTCTAGTTTTTTTCGTATTAAATTGGTTCGTGCTTCATTTGATGCATGATGATTATGATGAATCCATTACATTCACATTAACTGATGATGAGAGAATTCGTGAACATTATCGATGGACGACTATTCATCCATCCCTGATATATTATGATTATGATAATGATAATAATGTTTTGTGTGTGTGAATCAAATAAATCTCGACAGTTTGAATCCTCATTAATGATTATGGTGACTTGGGAAAAAATGTATATTTTTTATCGGCTAAATATTATTATTACCCAAACACACACACCGATTTATGTAACAAAACGATAGATCAAAATTGAGCTTTTTTGAAAGAATTTACCTCTCTCTCTCTCTCTCTCTCTCTCTGTGTGTGTGTGTGTTCACTAAGATTGAGACGGCCAATAGTGATATAATGTGATTAGAATAAATGAAATACATTTTTCATCCATCCATTGAACCATTCAACCGGCTACTGAACCGTCGATCAATTTGTTTTCAAATTAATCATTATCATCGTCATTGATAATCCCGAATAAGTGTGTGCACAGAACTGGTTGTGTGTGTGTGTGTGAGAGAGAGAGAGCTTGCTGAATCTGTTTCATTTTTCTCATCTTGCTTCTTAATAATTTTATTTTTTTTTTCATATGGATCATTATTTTGCTAGTGATCATCATGTTTCATGATCATTATTATTATGCAATTTATTCATCATGCATCGAAAAGTGTTGAGCAAAAAATACATTGTTTAAATCGGTTTTAGCTTCTTTTTTTCTTTCTTTTTCATCTCATCGAGATCAGATTACATTCATCAGTTGCTGTTTGTAAAGAGAATTTTTTTTTGTTTTTGATGGAAAATATAATCCTAGAGAATAAGTGATAATCCATATGAAAACACAAAACAAAACGAATGCACAAACCAATATGACATCATCATCATCATCATCATTACACAAGTTCTGATTCCATTATTGTACGATTCTCAACTTTATTATTTCGCCATTTTAATTCATTATGATCGAAATGAGTAGTCACAAAATGATGTTTGTTTGATCTATGTGTGTATGCATGTAGTAATGACATCGACCGACAACACAATGAGTGAATGAAATGGTACGCTTAATTAATTGTCATGGCTCACTAAGGATTCTCTCATTCATATGCATGCATGAATAAAAAATCGATCGAATTCATTGCATTTCCATTGTGTATGATTGTGTGTTGTTATACTTCCGTTTCGAATGTTTCACCCCTTTTCTCATTGATTTCAAATGAAAATCGTATTTTCTCTCTGTTCTTTTCACTTTTTTAATTCGTTTTATCGAAAAAGAAAAGAACAGAAGAGCAAACTTACTGTGAAGAGAGTGTAAGTGAGCGATTCTTAGAATCGGGCGATCGAGATAGATAGAAAAATATTATGATTTATGACCGTCGTCGTCTCAACTTTTACAAGAACATGCAAAACGAACAAGAAAGGCAAGAGGAGAAGAGTACGACCGAAAAACAAGAGAAATCTTATCTATCTAGACATTCATTTATTCATCTACTATCTATAAATGTCGACCAATGTTTGTCGTCGTATGGTAAAGCGAAAAGAAATTAATATCTTTAATGATTATGTGGGCCATAAAATAAAATCAACTTGAACCAAAAACCAAAAAAAGAATGAAAGAAACACGTCTTTTGTGATTCTTATTTTCACAATGAATCTTCTTTTGCTCGAGTGTGAAAATTTCTCTCATACGTTCATTACAATGGTAATGTTTCCTGTGAACAACAACAACAATCGAAAAATGAAAATAAAATGCAATGGCATAGCAGCATATATTCATGTGTGGATGGCATTGGCAATCATGTCCATTGTGTGAAAGTTTTTTGTTGTAAAAGTTTCACTGATTCAAATGAGAGAGAGAGAGAGAGAGAGAGAGTGAGATTAACCGATACAACTTGTCAACACAATACACACGGCTAACATATTGATGAGAAACGAATGAAATCGACTCATCTTCATTGTTCATGTTGTAATATCCGAGATAAAGTGTTCCGAAAAAAAGTTTCTGAAAAAGGAAAAAGAAAAAACAAGTTATCGTATAATAAAACTTTTTTCTTTGTTTTACACGAATAGGATGTTTGTCGTGTGTGTGTGTGTGTAAATCAAATATTTCAATGTTTCTCGATCTTCAGAATTCGATGTTGATACTTTTATCTGTTTGTTCAATGTCCGGTCTGGTTTATGTTTTGAACATTGGAAACATTGCTTCATTTGACATTTTTCCATGCATTTCAGAATTCTACATTACAACAATTTACCATTCGTTGATTTTCTTTTCCGTGATTCTGATCATTTTCTTCTTTTTTTCGCTTGAATCTTTTTCAAAATCGATTCTTTGCATCGATTTTTTGTTCACCCATTTTCTATTGGTATCTGTCTGTTTGTTTGTTTGTTTGTTTGCATCGATAAATACACACACACACACGGCGGCCGAGAAGAATAAATAACCGAATTGAATGCCGGGTCGATTTCTTCTTGTTTTTCTTCACTTGCAAATGTTTTGCCAATAGTCATTCGTGTGTGTGTGTTGACATATTCGATCCAAATTCGAGGATCGATTACAGGCAAAGGATCTTTCCACATTCTCATAACAATAATAATCTCAGCAAAGCAACAACAACAACAAAAAAAACAAGAAAATTATTCCATTTCAACATTGAAATTGATTCGTGCTACATAACCATCATCCATTCCTGATTATGACAACAGAAAAAAAAAAAACTTCATGAAACTTTAATCATATAATAAACAAAAAAGAAATGAGTGAATGGTAAAGACCGATATCTCGTTTATATATTTTTATGGAACGGTAATTCAATTTCCATGTTCATCATCAAGTTATTTTTCAGTTGATTCCGATGTGTATGTACCGAAGGGTCCTTATCTTATTATTTTGGAAACATTTTTTCATTTTTTTCTCTTATTCTCTCGCCAGCACACACACACACACACACACACATAAACACATGGACAAGTTAATTAGACCTACACTACTATTAGTGGTGAGCGAGATAGAGAAATGAATTTGTTTTTTTCTTTCTCTCTGTTGAATGATAATCGTTGATGTTTGACTTTAACAACAAACTGGATAAAAGAAGAGGGTATTGTTTTTTTGTTGCAGTCAACTTTGGATTCATCCACACACACACACACAATCCAGTTTAACATTCCGGTAGATGTGAATGTTATTGTTGCTGATGATGAGAGCCATTAGTTTTCCCTATCCAATCATGATGATGATGATGAACTTTTTTCCCTTTAGTTTTGCTCTACATTGTTCATTCACAATGTGATTAATTTATGATTTTTGTTTTTCTCTTGTCTGTCTCAATAATGATGATGATGGTGATGGCGATGGTGATAAGCAAGCAAAGAAAAAGGAGTAAAATGTGCATAGGCTCACTGAACTGTTGTTGTCCATGAATTAAACAACTATGACTATGACAAAAAGAAAAATTGACTAACTATCATTGATGATGATGATCATAATAAGCAAAAAATGAAAAACGCTGGTTCGCAGTCTTTTTTTCTATCACATTTCATTGTTTCGATTCGGCATTTTTTTTCTCTAATCAAAAACGCCTTCATCTCGCATAGTTTCTATGTTCACATTCTGTACTGAATATTCTGACGTGTCAAGATTCTGAAAATGAATTGAACTCTCTCTCTCAAACACACACATGCAACACCGAAATTCGAAATTAACTGAAAACTTAAAGCTTAGCTTATTTTCCTGTCATCGTCATCAGTCTGTAGTAAGTTTGTGAAAACACAAAAGAGTTATATTCTCATTTTCATTCAATTTTTTTTGTGCAGATCCAATTTGTTCATTTATTCATTTTTACCTTATCAGCAAATTAACAATCTCTCTCTGTTGTGTGATAATATGCGGCCAAAACCAAAGAACGATACAGGATATTCATTGTGTGTGTGTGTTTGTGTTTTAATTTATTTTTCATATTTAAGCTTATATGTCATCCAGAAATTTTAAACCGTATATTTTTCGATAATTACAAATGCAATATATATGGGACCAAATTGATATACAACTAACAGTACAACATGTAATGTACAACGTGTGTCTGTGTGTATGCTCACTCAGATGTAATGTAATCCATTGAGAACCAACCAGGAGTCTCGACCATCAATCAGATTAGACTATGGAATTTTTTTCGGTTCGCCGATAGATAGATAATGTGAGAATCTTTGCCAGACGTCCATCATGTCATTTGTGTTGCAACGAGAAATCTAATTTCGTAACGTAGATTGGAAATTCTTTCTTTCTTTTATTTTATTTCAATTGTAATTCTAATTCTAATTCTCATTTTCAATTTGTTCTCCTTTTTTTCCACATCCATAATAGTTTGATTCGATAAAATTGAATCCACAAAGCATATCAAGCTGTATAGCCAAAGGCAAATCCGAGGTAAGTGTCCACCATGTAATGTTTTCTTTCTGTTTCGCTCAAAAATCATCACATTACATTATACATCAAATTTTCATTCATCATCATCCATCGTCGTCGTTGTCGTTGATTTCAATTAAAAATCCGAATGAATTTTCCACCATCATCATCATCATCAACTAAATCGTGGCATCATTTGGGTTAATTTCTCTTCCACATGCAGTTGATGAGGATCATTGAGTGAAAATGAAAATTACCGACGCTGATGATGATGATGATGATGATGATGTTCATCATTATCATCATCATCATCATCAAATCGACATTAAAATAAATAAAATTAGTTCCACCAAGAGAGAAAGTTGATGCCAAATTTTCATATGGCCTCTAACCATTTTATTCTTCTCGGTTTTTTCAAACATTCCACCGTTAATGGTAAAAACATATTGAACAAGGGGAAAGAAAACGAAAACCGGAAAAACGAACAAAAAGCATACCATAAAGACATTGTCAGAAGAAGATAATTTACATTTGAATTCGAATGGCACATTCATTCATGTCTTATGTTCGATTGGAAAAAAAATTTTCTTCACCCGGAAAAGAAATTGGATTGCTGCTTTAGCTCACAACTGAAAACGAAATTTTTTGATTTTCAATCAATTCGTATGTGTGTGTGTGTGTTTGATTTGTTGATTTTTTTCCATTTTCGTTTTGTTTGTATGCTCTGGCATAGCCGTTCAATTGATTCATTCATTTATTATCATCATCATCACTGTATTACACTTGAATTGGCCCGAAGAAAAAACGAAAAAGAATCGTAAAAGGCGTCAAAATCGATTCCAATGTGTAGGCGCCAATTGTCTTTGATGATGATTGTTCCTTTTATCCTTCTTCATCTTCTTTTCTATTTTTTTTCATTCATTTCTATCAGCGAATTTTCTTCACATACACAAACAGGGAAAGAAATGATAATAAACTGCCAAACGAAAACGATGACGACTGTTAAGTAAGAAAAATTAAGTCCCATTCTTTGGTTTTTTTGGGGAGAAAAGATTTTATACTAAAGAAAAAAGCACACACACACATCGCTTGTGTCTGTTGGGGCGATTAATCGAAAATATAATAAACCACGTTTGATTGCTGCTGAATGCGCGCTTCCAGATTGTCAGAGTCGTCATCAGTGAATCTTTGCCCTTCGACCAGTATCATAATAGGCAATCGAATGGAAACGAAAAGGAAAAAAATTCTCGTCAAGATAACACACTGCAATCCTGGAGCCTTTCGGTTATTTCTTACCGAATGTGCGATCTTTGATTTGGCTGTGTTGTTGGAACAATAACAATGTTTTTCATTTTTTTGTTTCCTTTTTCTCCCTGAAAATGGTTGTGAAGAAAGTGGTTTTTGCATCGGTCGGCCAAGCCAGCTTGGATATTGATTTTGACAATTTCAATTTTCGTTTTCTGTTTCTATTGTGTGTGATACACTCGTCGTCGTTTTCAATATTTTTCATTCACTCACTTAGATATTCGAACATCATGGGTATTTGAACTTCAATTTTTTGGCGATAATAAGACTTTTGGGTTCCAAATAAAATGAAATTTTTTTTTATTAATTTTAAAACCAAAAAAAGAAACTAAACTTTAATCGATGAAAATAGAAATAAAATTCTCGGATGGATTCTGCAATCTATTGATTCTGAGCCCGTCGGCGATGGCGGGCTTTCCACCCATTAATCCGTCGATGATGATGTTGAGCGCATTTTCAAGATCATTTTCTTCAGAATTTAAAAAGGACACAAAATACTGACTTTATTTATTTTTATTTTTATTTTTTTCACCATCATCATCATTGCCATGCTTTAGCTTTATGATTGCCGTAATCATATCCGTGTCATACAACCGATTGGTACGAATCATGATCGTTTCTATGTATGTGGCACGAATGCACACAATCCCAAAGATTGGATCATTAACGTAAGTCTTTTTTGTTCATTCGTTGAAGAAAAGAAAAAAGTTTCAATGTTTGTTTACGATGAACGAAAACCCATTTGGTTCGTTCGTTATTCGTTGACAAATCAATTTTCTTTTTTTTCTTTTTCTTTAAACTGGTAAAAAAACGATTTAAAAATATTCCCAACCGTCCCATTGATCGATTCTTTTATTTTTATTTTTTTCATTTTTTCTTTGTTGAAATCTCAATATTTCTTCAATTTTCACAAAATCGATTCTTTTAAAATTCTTCATCATCGCTCCATAAATGATACAGTCCAATTTGACCGTATCGAACGAACCATTACCTGGTATCGGTAGCGGTATCGCTAAATGTCCATTCGATCCGGAAGATAATTCCACTGCTATTTGGGTTGGTAAGTAGTTTTTTCGATTTCATTTGCTTTTTTCGGAATCATCATTTTTCCACTCTCTCTCACTCAATATATTATCATTTTTTTTGTAGAGAATGGCAATCCTGGTGATCTAGCCGGCCTTTACAGTGGTTCAGTGGCCGAATTTACCAAAGCTGACACTGTCATTTTTCGTACCGATCTTTATAATACAACATCTATGCAACGAATGTATCCATTCAAGCGAACTATCAAATATGATTCCAAATGGCTTGACAGTATGTATCTCTATTCTCCACGTTTGTTTGTTTGTTTGTTTGTTGATATTTCTATTCATTTAATATAAATTATCATCACAATATCTATTGATTGAGCTCAATTCCATTTTTCCAATCACTAATATATAACCATTGTGATTATTGATCATATTTTTTTCTTCTATTTCTTCCGCACAGAACCCAATTTTCGTTGGATCATTCGATATTGGTGACTATGTTTATTTTTTCTTTCGTGAAAGCGCCGTTGAATATATCAACTGTGGAAAGGCAATCTATTCACGAGTAGCTCGGGTTTGTAAGGTATGGTTATCACTTATCAATCATCTGAATCAAATTGCTGACTTTATCATTCTTTTTTCCACACTCATCGAATAAATAGCGAGATACTGGTGGCAAAAATATACTCAACAAGAATTGGGCATCATTTCTAAAGGCCAGACTTAATTGTTCGATTCCGGGTGAATTTCCATTCTATTTCAATGAAATCCGTAAGTATCGTTTTTTTCTCAGACAAAAATCTCAATTTTTAGCCACCATTAAGATGTCACAAGACAGAAACAAATCTGATTGTGTGTTTATCAGTGATAAGACACCTGACGATGCTTTTAACAAACGAAAAAATAACATCGCCATAGCATTGCCAAAGATTCGATTCATTTCAACTGCAGATGCCCAATAATTTATATCTTCGCAACATTGGAATTTTTTTTGAGCCAATAAATTATACCATCAGACACACAAACTCGAAAGAAATAGTATTTTGTTTTCTTTTTTTTAAAAAAAAGAAAATTTAATGTCACCTCAAAAGTATTAGAGTAAAGAGCTCTGTTATCAGTGAAAAGAAAGAAGAATTATATTAATTTGTTCGGCATTTATCTTGATTTCAAATGTCATCATCATTTGATAATTGACTATTAATATTGCCCATCTTTTCTCTCTCTCTCTCTCTTTCTCTCTCTTATACAGAAAGCGTTTATAAATATCCGGTGATGATCGAAAATTTTACGCCGTATTTAGTACATCGACAAACGGCCTAATGGGTTCGGCCATTTGTACATTTAGTTTGAACAAAATTGAAGAAGTTTTCTATGGAAAATTCAAAGAACAATCAACATCATCATCTGCATGGCTACCGGTTTTATCCAGTAAAGTGCCCGAACCAAGACCCGGAACATGTGTTAATGATACTCAAGTATTACCCGATTCTGTGCTTAATTTTATTCGTGGTCATCCATTGATGGATTCTGCCGTCGAACATGATAATGGAAAACCCATTTTCTACAAAAGAGATGTCATCTTTACACGAATCGTTGTCGATCGGTTAGAAGTGGATGGCATACAGTACACAGCCTATTTTGCTGCCACCAATAATGGTCTCGTTTATAAGATCATCGAATGGTATGATCAGTCTGGCCAGGTTCATTCGAATCTGGTCGATGTGATTGAAGCGACCGTTGGTGAACCAATACGAGCCATCGAAATATCTGCTCGACATAAATCGCTTTATATTGCATCGGATTCAGTGGTCCGGCAAATCGATTTGTTTATGTGCAAAGGTCGTTATGAAAGCTGTACCAGGTGCATTCAAGATCCTTATTGTGGCTGGGATCGTGATCAAAATGAATGTAAACCATATACCATTGGGTTAGTATCACTACTCATTTATTCTCGTTTCGATCCCTTTTCCATTTTACTCATTCATATTCAATTCAATGAATATGAATATATATTGGTTACGCCTATCCAATACATTCGATTGATTTGAGCTTGCATCCTGTCTATCTATCGTGCCAATTTATTATAATACATTCCGATGGCATAGAAATGAATTGATGGTAAATAGCATAGCTTTGAACGAACAAAAAAAATAACGATAACGATAACAAATGGCTGCAATTATTGTTATGATTGAATCGTTTGTTTTTTTCTCTTTCTCGGTTATTGGTTCTATGGTTCGACACCATCTATCTATCCTTGTGGAATAGGAATATTTTTTTTCTTTCTAAACAGAAATAGAAATTCTTCGGTTCACTTTCCTTTTTTGCATTGTAATCGATCCTGATTTGGCACATGAAACAAATTATCTATCCCCACAAAAAAATACGACCGATGGATTGAAGTGTCGAGATTAGTTTTCTTGTTCCCCCCATTTATTTCGATCTGTGAATAGTGTAGTTGGGCGCCATACCATTATTTATTATTATCATCATCATCATATTATTGGTGAACATGATTGTTACTTTGATTCTTATTCTTATTATTCTTTTTTGTTTGTTCTCTCATTTTTATTATTATTGCCAATCAACCAAACAACGAATGAATGAATGAATGAATGAATGACGATTACACAGATTGATGCAAGACATAATGAATGTTACGGCTGGGATTTGTGATAGCACTATTGAGCATAAAATAATGAAAGTCAATTGGGGACAAAGTATTCATCTGCCATGTCAGATACATAGTCCGGACGTTTCGACTGTCATACAAACACAAGGTCCATTGAAATGGTACTATTTTCGTAGTGATAAATCAAGCGGTTTTGAAGTGTATCCCAAACGTGATAAATATGTTCACACTTCGGATCATGGCCTCGTTATATTGGGCGTTACTGATCGTGAAACAGGCCGTTATGATTGTCGCCTTGGATCGAATACATTGTTCAGCTATACGATCAATGTGGATGCAAGTAAGTTGTTGATTATTATGATTATCACCAAACATTTCTAACATTTATCTTTTCTTCACCTCTATCAATCAAACAGAAACTTGTTCAGCGCCAAATGAATCGGAATTTCGTAAAATATATTCAGACTGGTGTCATGAATTTGAAAAATATAAAAGTGCAATGAAAAATTGGCAAATTAAACAATCGGTTCGTATTTTACTTCATTTGAATTGTTCCATGTGACTAATTATCAATTATCAATTATCAATGTTTATGAAATAGAAATGCCTTGTAAAACAACAACAAAATCATTTGAAAAAATAATCAATGCTCAATTCTGGTCAAACTCTTCTTCCCTTTTTGTTCAATCATCAACGATGATCATTTATTGAAGCAGCATCTATGTATAATCTGCCTGTGATAATCTGATCACAAACAATTTGTCATCAATTTGTTGTTTGTGATCCAATCTTTTTTTTCACCAATCAATCAATCAATTCAATGTACAATATAGCCTTGATTCCAACATTACATCACATCCACTGTGTACAATCATAGAACACAACATGTCCACTCACACACATTTAGAAAAAATGTTGAATATTTTTTTTCTCGTTCGAAAATTGTTTGTCACTTTTGTCAACTTTTGTTCGTCATCGATCATCATAACTAAATAAATAAATTGTTATTTTGTTTGTTTATATCATCATCACTTAATTGATCTTTTTAATTATTAATTGCTCTTGTGATAATTTGAGATCATAGAGATGGCAGAATTCTGTGATTGATTGATCAATTGATCAATTGATTTGGATTTTGGGACAATTTTTTTTTTGTAAATATAAATCAAATAAATCAAATTATCACAATTATAATTGTAAAAATTTCACGCGTACTTATTCTATGTATTTCTCTCTCACCTGTACTTGTAATTGATATATGATTGTATTTGTCTTGTTTTTTTTTGTATCTGCTGTTCCATCCATCCACTCATTTGATGAATGTAAAAATCTAAAAATTTTTTCTCTGTACAAAAATGATAATGAAGAAACGAATAAAGTTTTTTTTTACAAAATAGACATTTAAGATATGTTGATGATCACGATCATCACCATGGTATTTGTGGTCGTCTGCATGAGACAAGAAAAAAAAAAAAAAACAAGTTTGAATTTTACCGATATTCTTATCTTTTTTTCATACACTGAATTTCGATTTTCTTTCCAGGTTTCAATGGGGCTGAAATTTTTAAAATGCCTTTTTCAAATATTCTCAACTAAAAAACAATTATTCTTTCCGACAATGGATTCAAAAACTTGGGTTTCGTTTTCGGCAAAAATTTCGATTAGATATTGCATGCCAGATAATGTCAAACATTAAAAAAATCGAAAATTTCTTCGAAAAAAGTCATATGAATATCGATTTTAATTTTCATCTGTTCTACTGAACCAAGAAACCGTAATTTCAATAATTTATTTTTGTTTTTAAAAAAATTCAAAATTCAAGTTTTGGAAACCAAGGTATCCCAGTCGACAATAACAACAACAAAAGAAACAGAAAAAGTACGTTGGAAAGTAAAAAACTTAATTTCAATTTTTTTCTCGGTTCAGAAATTCTGGAACGATATATGTGCACTGCGAATAGTTTTCGCTAAACGCTGTCGCTGGTGGTGGTTGTGTTCCGATCAAAATTGTTGTTGGTTAACATTGTGTTTCATACATCTGAATCATATCTTTGTTAATCATGGATCAAATGAAAGGTTTCAATTCGCAAATGCTGAATCGAGATGCATTCACCATACCGAAATTGGCATATGAATCCTATTTTAAAATATTCGGGTAATTTCCATTCATCACCATTATGAAACAATTGATTGGACCATAATCTGTGTTTCTTTCTCGAATTTTCTAGCCTAATATCATCTGGCCTAGACTTCGGCCAGCGTTATGGCCCAGTTAAACAGGATAAAACATCGTCAAATCTAAAACGTTTCTATTGTCAATTCGTTTGTTTATTGTTATGGTTCTTTGCCATTCGTAGTTTTGTACTAATGTTCATCGGTGATCGTGAAATTCAATTGATGATGGGCGATTTGACTGGATTTTGGAATGATTACCGAATGTATTATCTGATGCCTACATTCTATTATTCATTACAGACGGCCATCATAGCGACAATTTTCTTGCGAAACGAAAGCGAGGTATTCAATTGATAGCTTGATATGATGTAAATTGATTGATTATTGATGAAAATATTTCAACTTTCAATAGTTGGCCTGGCTAGTTCCATTCATATCGGTGAAACAGATGCAAACAAATTCGATACGTACAGCCAAGTACGATACGAACAATCATGAACGGCGAACTCAGATAACGATCATAATGAACAATCTGATTGTATTGATTGCTACCGGTATGGTTGCCATGCTTTATTTGCTTACAGCCTATGAGAATATGGATGATACAACTTTCAAAATGTTCTTGCCATGGATTGGCATACAAGCTGTTTGGATATTCTTCATGACTGGAATCAATATGTTTACAATGACCTATTTCAATCTGGTCTGTTTAATTCTATCCAATCGTTTCAAACAGGTGTGCAAAGATATTGAAGCATTGGCTGAATCCGACCCTGGACCATTGGGCAGTAAGAACAATGCATTGTCAACGTTGTACTATGAACATAATGAAATATGCGAATTGGTCGATGAATCGAATAGCTTTTGGCAATCATTCATATTTTTCAACTATCTATGCCATATTCCTTGCAATTGTTATGCATTGTATAATCTATTCTTTGCTGAATTCGATGATCTATTGGCCATTGTTACATGGACCGTATTCCTCCACACTATACTATTCTTGGCATTCATCTCATTATCGGCTGCCGATGTATCGGCAGAAGCTCATAGTCCATATACAGCGTTGCATACATTGTCATTGCTTCAATTACCAATCGATCTTGAAGTTAACGTAAGATTTTTTTTCCAAATACTTTTCAAACATTTTACAATGTATTTTATAGATGTCAACATTTTTGCATCGTGTTCGTGGTCCTACCATTGGTTTCTCTTGTTTGGATCTGTTTGTCATAACCAATGCTAGTATTTCAAATGTAAGTTGTTATGTAATTCATATGTGGAGATGAACAAAATTAATAACAATTTCATTTCATCCTGAACAAATGTTTAAACAGACAATCGCTGCTGTTGCTTCATACTTTTTGATTGTTGCCGATTTCAGCCGATCAACTGCAGCGGCAAATGCTGCAGAAAAACGTGAAGAAGCGGCCAAAGCAGCATTGAATTTGACTACAACAGTTGCACCCCCGGTCACACAATAATTTGGAAAACGAAAACAAAATTCCAAATTCAAAACCGGTTCACTGGATAACAATTATTGATATAACAAGCTTATTATTATCATCACAAATCACAAATATTAATTACAACACACTAAGTAGTACTAGTAGTAGTACACAATTAGATTGCACCATATAAACAAAGCAAACGAAAATAAATGTCAAATCAAAACAAACCAAGCAAAAAAATTAATCACAATTTCGATTATTATTATCAATTATCAGTATCAATATCGATCGAAGGAGTATTGGAAATCATTTATACTTTTGATAAGATAAAAATGATTCTTGAATTGTTGTGACATTGCTCTATAAATCGAAAAGAATGAAAGAAGGAATTTATTTATTTATTTATTTATCCATGCGTATGACCGACAAAAAATATATACTTATTCAATTAAAGTGTCCGATTTCTGTGTGTCTGAATTTTTTTTTGTTTTTGTTTTCATCCAACAATTATCGATTCAATCAAGCGCTAACGAATATATTGAATCATGATTTGCAAACAATTCAAAATTGGCGATATCATTTATGAATGCGCCACCAAGCGACAGCTGACTGCATCTATGCATGCTTGATTCTTTTTCGGTGATCATAAACAAAATTTGCAAAAAATGAAATTATTTGTGACATTATTGGCACGTTTACCTCGGCCATATCATTATTCGAATTATCCCGAACGATTCATACGTAAACAAACGGAATTTATCGAATGGAAAACACCACCATATCCAAATTATCAACCAAGAATAGTTCGATATCGAAAGAATGCCTACTATGATATTAATCGTCCATGGACAACAGAATTTCAGGATCAAAATGCACCGAATATTAAACATCCGAAAATATATGTCGAACCATTCAAACAATTTCCAATATTTCTCGGTGATATTGTACAGGTGATGCGTGGAAAAGATCGTGGTAGAAAGGAACGGTCAACTATGTAGTAGAGGAACGAAATTGGGTATGTGTTCGTGGCCTAAATCGCAAATATCGTCTCATGCAACGTGATCCATCGTTTCCAGGTGTATTGAATACGACAGAAGAACCGTTACTAGTGCCTCGTGATGTATCGTTAGTCGACCCGGAAGATAATCAGCCTACCACCATTGAATGGCGTTATGATGAAGATGGTAATCAGGTACGTGTTAGTGTACGTACCGGTCGTGTTATACCAATACCACGTAAAGCGTATGAAACACGTGATTATACCGTTCCTGAAGCTTATAAAGATCAACCAAAAGATACGGCATCAGATGAAGTGGTTAAAGCAACTTTCAAACCAAAATTGAAAACATTTGAAATGGATATCATGGAAGATCATGGTATCCAAGAACATCGTATTCCATATCCAATGTATTGGTATTGATGAAATTATATTCAATCTTGTATTTAGAGTATCCATGATTCATTTTTGTACGTAAAAAAAAATAAAGAACTGGTCATATAGAATTCAATCATCATTTTTTTAATAAAATTTAAAATGAAAAAAGTTGTCACTATTTAAACATCGAGGACGAAATAGACACGTGAGCCAATTTTTTTGTCAACAATTATAAACATTCACATCATTGATTGATTTTTGATTTAATCGCGATGTAATGTGTCAAATGGAAAGCCAAATTATTCATCGTTAAAATCGTATGCAACGAGATGATGATCACGGCTTCTACAACTGGATCTCTGGACAATAATAATAGCAGCCAAGCAATTGTACATTCGGTCGGAAACGTCTTTCAAATCAGTCCGTTCAGTCTGGCTAGCCGACGGAGTGCATTTTCGCCTTACAGGGTAAGTGTTCGATTTTCATCGTTAGATATTGATCTAATCTAATATCATTTATCAGCCATCGACTGTATTGACCAATCTACAACGTGGTAACATCCAAACACAAACATCGAATGAACCAGTTTATCGTAGTGTCCATCAATTGGCTGCATTGGGTGAATTATTCTTGTGTCATTTAGGTAGCTATTGTTTTCAGCTGTAAAAAAATTAAATTTAAACTGAAATTTTTTCCAATTTTTCGACAGACAATAAAGTTGTCAACAAAATCGATGAAAAAGGATTGACACCAATACTATGGGCTGCTTCTTATGGCCAATTAGCATCCATACAAACATTACATAAACATGGTGCCAATATTCATTTCAAAGGATCAGCTGGCGAGAATGCATTAATGTTGGCAGCATCTAATGGACATTTAGCCGTAATCAAACATTTAATTCAGTTGGGTATCGATCTTAACGAAACGGATGAAGTATAATGCCTAAGAGAATAATGATGTGTCATTATCATGTTGCTAATATCAATTTTTGTTTAATCCACTAGGATGGCAACACTGCATTAATGTATGCCGTTTATGGTGATTATAAAACTTGTGTGCAAGAATTGTTGAATAATAATGCTGATATAACTGCTGAGAATAGTAATCTTGATACGGCTTATTCTATTGCGGTAAAACGAAATTTTCATTCAGGTAATGTGTGTGTGTCTATTGGATTAGAGATTTTACTAATCAAATGTCTGATCTGATTATTTCATTAGTTCGTGAGCTATTGGAAACGTATACATTTAATTTATTGAATCATCAACAAACTTAAAACGATCTTCGAACATCTTTTACTCACATTTGTTTCACATGAATAAAAACACAGTTCCATCACTACTATTTTTTCAGTCTTTGTTTTCAGATTTAATTTAATATATATTGATTGTTGTTCATCGAATGATTGATTGCTGTTGAAATTGATCGGTAGCCGGTTGATTAGCGGTCGTATCGATACGAATGACACGAATTTTTTCTTGATGAGCAAATAAAACACAGCATTCATTGTCATTGCCACAATAATGTGAGCAGGAAAAAATGGTGACACATTTTTGGCCAAAATGTATCATGAATCCAAGTTTAGGTACTTCATGTGCCCGAATCAAATGTGTGAGACGATTTTCGGCGAAAAAATTATCCAATGCACGTTCATTGAAATAAAATGCTGTACCACGTTTCGTATTGGGCAGATATCCTTGTCGTAGATTTTCATTACGAATTTGATAGAGATTCTGTATGGTCATAAAATGTTCTTGATTTATTGGATCCGACCACATTATTTCCCATGCAACGGGACAATCCGATTCTGGACTCATTACGATGGGCGGTATTCGTTTTTCCAGATCGGTCAAACGTGTTACCTGATGTGGAATACCACCATGTGAACAGAATATCGTCTCATCAATGGTAGCACTCAGTGGTAGCCTATCAAACAGACGATTGGTTAGATCCCAAAATCTTTGTCCATAAACTTGATCATATTTTTGCCATAGTTCACGTCGATATGTGTATTTGTTTTGTATTTCACGAATTTCATGATTTCCTCTTAGTAATGTGATCATTTTTGGCATCAAAACTTTCATCGAAAACAGATAAAGTGCACATTCAATACTCCAACGACCACGATCAACATAATCGCCAAGGAATAGATAATGTACACCAGCGGCTGGAAATTGTTTCCAAATTGTCATCTCTAATGACATAAGATCTTCAAGATTACCATGTATGTCACCAATGATAAAACATGGTGAATTTAATTGTTTTACACGTTGTTCTTTCTGTAGCATTGGTTCCAATTCATCGGCCATCATCTGAAACATTTGAAACAATCGCTCACGTTCATTCACCATGAATCCATCAATGAATCTTTTTGTATGATTAAATTCACGTATTTTACGTAGGAAAAAATTTGCCGGATATTCTGGTTCTAAAAGATGAATTCGTTGTATATCTACCAATGCTGATTTTCGTTGTGGTGAATCACTTTTCGCTTTATTATTCTCATGCCTTACAAGTTCACATCGATCATAGTAACCATCCTGATTGATGTGTATTTGAATCGGTGATAATTTATAACGTTTCGATCGGCATGATTGACAGATTTCATTCTGATATTTGCGCTGAACAACCAATCGAAGTACTGATGATGCCGATTCTTGCTTAGATGATTGATTTGCCGATTGAGTTGTTGTTATACGTTTCGTAATATGATCGAATATCGATTTTTTTGATCGACACAACAATGATGTACCACGAAATTGATGTGTTGCAATGATGGTCAAAAATTTTCGCCACGTAATCGCCTGTTTCGCGCGATTTCCTTTTCCAACCGATTGTGCCTGAAATAATTCCATTGCTTCACGAGTTTTCTGTTCCAATGGATCGCCACGTAACTTTTTATCACCACACGTGATATTGTAAAGGTCTCTAAGCATTCTTTTCATGTCTTCTTCATACAGGACACCATTTTGTTTCGTATCATAATAACGAAATACGAATTTAATGCGTACTTCATCATGTGGTGTATCCTGTTCCAAAGCGACCAAACCGAGTAATAGTTCATGAAAGCAAAGAAAACCATTCTTCATGTAATTGAATGCAATGAATAAACGATCCAAATTCAAATCCGGTAAATCCAGGCCAAGCCTGAGTAAACATTGACGAAACGAATCGGATGTCATATAATAACTAGGATAACAATGTTCCAAGAATTCATAATACAATCGTTCAACATCATTTTCGGTCACTTTCACGGATTTTAGCCACGATTCTTCAATGTTTCTCGGTATACCGTCTTTAGAAACGAAATGGAATACCTGATTTGAACTAAATTCTTCAATCTTTTGCGCAATCATATGTGGATTGATATTGGCCGGGGGACAAAATTTGACTAGTTCTGGCCCCCAAAGATTTTCCACAGAACCATCTCGAACGTGATTTAAATCAAGCCAATCAAGACGATCACTGGTTTGGCAGCAAACAAATTTATCAGGCGATTGTTCAATGTTTGAATCGAGACGTACATAGAATGCTAATCGTGTAATGAATCGATTTGTCTGTGGTAATTGTAATCGAAGGATTTCAATCAATCGAATGTGGCTGTAGAATGGATGATTCTTAAGGTATTCATATCGATTTGCCGATTCATTGGCGAATATCCATGAAACGCTTTCTTTGGCTGATTTGATCCAGCAATTTTTCTGTGGCCATTGTGCAACGACACACGGTAACCATATGAATGGTGATGATGATGATTTCAATATGCATACCTTTTCATGAACAGGACAATGGATGAAAAAACAGCAACAATCATAAAGCTTTTCATAAATATTCGATACCGAACCAATGGGAAGAATGTAGGCCATGTTTTTCGTTTCAACCATCGATACTGTTGATCTATGATAACTTAGACGAACATATTTCTGTGATGGTTCACGAACATTTTTTCGACTGTGAACAGATGAAACTGTTGCCGGTGATTTGACCACAGGAATTGTTGTTGTTGCCGTCGAACGATTTGATTTTCGTTGTTGTTGTTGTTGTTCTTTTTGGGCATCATACGATTGAGAACATTTTTCATTGGACGAGGAATATTTTGTGTCAAATTCGTTACAGCCGAATAGATATGATCCATCATATGATTGGCAGATGGTAATTTCATTTGAATTTCATTCATATCGATATTGGCTGCTTTGATGTTGTTGTTGATCGCTGGACGTCGGCCATCTTTTTTCGGTGACCAAAATGACATTCGAATTTTGGATGAATATTGTTATTTTACCCACCAGGTTAAACACACAAATCAGAAATTACTGCTAAATAATGCTTATTTATATGCACAACACGGCCAACAACCAATAATGGACAAGAATTCAAATTCAAATTCAAATTTATTAGATTTTATTTCAATTAAAAAATAAGTTCAGTTTATAATTTCATTTTGTTTTTTTCTTGACAAAGGGGGCGGTATATGTATGTATGTATGAGGTGTGTGTGTTATCGGATTCGATAGTTTGTGCATGGATGTTGTGAATGCACAGACATTTGCAAAAAAAAATATAAATTAATAACGACAATCGATCAGTTAATTTCAATTAAAAACATTTGAATTTATGGTAGAAAAGAGTTAAAAAATTCGATTGATCCATCTTGATGATCCAGTTGTTTCAGTTCTTCTCAAAGTTTATCGAAATAATTGTCCAATTCGGGCAATGAATCCTTAAGACCTTTACGTTTACGTGTATCCATAACAACTTGATATGGACGGGATTTACCATCCAACGGATCGCCAGGCAAAATTTGCCAATGATCAAATACACATTGTGGGAAAGCTTGGCCACCAGTGTTTGAACGAAGATCGGCAGTAAAACCGAATGATTCATTTACTGGCAAATAGGCTTTGACAGTGAACATAGGTGTACCGACAACTTGTGATTCTTCAAATACATGGCCACGACGTCTATTCAACACACCATAGATACCACCAACGGCTTGTTCAGGACATTGAATTTCCACCAAATAGACCGGTTCCAAAAGACGAGGTTGAGCGGTCAAAAGGCAGGCATAAAGACAACGACGAGCTGTCGGAATGATTTGACCACCACCACGATGGATAGCATCAGCATGCAAAGTTACATCATGAATGTTGAAACGAACACCACGCATGTTTTCTTCACAAAGTACACTCTGTGTTCCAAGATGATAATGAGAATTAGTCAATTAATTAGATAATAATAATCGGTAATGACTTACCTCTTTGGTGGCCCATTGAAATCCAGCAACAACGCTATCTTTGATTTCGTTTAAATATTGCACACCTTTGGTTACATCGACCAAAAGATTTGGTCCAGTACCTTCGGGTCCAAAAGCCCAGATTTTACGGGCATCGGTTGCATCCCAATTATATTTATCAGCTAAGAATCGAGCACGCACTTTGAAATCATCACGTGGATTGATGTCACCTTTATCAATGTCTTCGGCAATACCATCCTGAAGAGGACATGCTTTCATGAACAAACGATTATGTTTGTTTGGTGATTTAGACAAGCACATAATTTCAGATTCTTCTGAAACAGTTTCTCGATACGATACAACTGGATCCGATGTTTTGATTGGAATTTGGGCATGATCTTCTTCCAAATCTTTCAGACAAATTTCCAAATGAAGTTCACCAGCACCTGCTACAATATGTTCACCCGATTCTTCAATGATACATTGTACCATAGGATCAGATTTAGCCAAACGTTTTAAACCTTCTACCAATTTAGGTAAATCGGCAGGATTTTTCGGTTCAACAGCAACACGCACAACAGGCGATACGGAGAATTTCATCACTTTCATGTTGTGTGCATCTTTAAATGTTGAAATGGTACCGGTTTTGACCAAAAATTGATCAACACCAACTAAACCACAAATATTGCCGCATGGTACATTTTCAATTGATTCCACATAACGACCCATCATCAATACAGTTCTATTGAAATAAACAATGATTAATACATGATTCAATTCAATTTGAAAGTTCATCACACAACACTTACCGTTGAATGGCCTTCTCAACCAAATCCTCTTTTTTACCATGCACATAATTTGGTCCCATTATACGGACTTTTTGTCCAGAAGCGACAATACCAGAGAAAACACGACCAAAAGCATAGAAACGTCCTTTATCAGATGTCGGTACCATTTTCGAAATGTACATCATCAATGGACCTTCCGGATTACAAGATTTAATGGCAACAGCAGCTTCATCATCATGTGGTCCTTCATACAACAATTCCATACGATACTTTTGAGCTGTGATTGGTGATGGCAAATGAATGGCAATCATCTGAAGCAATGAATCACCAGCAGGTAACCAGGTTCGCATAACAACTTTCAATAAATTCTTGCCATCTTTTTCTTTATCTTCACCTTTCAATACGATGTTTAATTTCTCCAACAATTTAGCAGTCTCCTCTTTTTTAAAGTTCATGATGGCATCGAAAACTTTAAAGATTGGATCCAAGACAAACATACAGAAAGCACGTTTGTATCCTTCATCAAAACGTTTTGACCACTTTTTTCGCTGTAGGATTGTAAAAGTTTTCACCCCATAATCGATTCATCAATTTATCGACATCAATTTTGAATTTTTCCGAATACAATTCAGCAAATTGTTTCAATGAAAAAGCCCAGCCATGTAAACCGGAACCAAAACCAACGGAACCTTTGGATGGATCGACACGAATGTCGCCCATGGGCCCATTTTCATCAGCATATGTCGAAATGATGACGTTGACATTTTCGACGATACGAGTGAATTTTTGATACAAATCTTCTTGCTCCAATTGAAGGGTAAGCATGGCCAAGTCCATTTTGTTCATGAACAATACCGGCTTGATACGTTCGGCAATAGCTTGACGTAATACAGTTTCAGTTTGGACACAAACACCAGACACACAATCAACGACAACCAAAGCACCATCGGTTACACGAAGAGCAGCCGTAACTTCGGATGAAAAATCAACGTGGCCGGGACTATCAATCAAATTGATCAAGAAACCTTTTTCGTCGGATTCTTTTTGATCGGCACTAGTGATGAAAACCATATCTTGTTCACGCATTTCGAAATACATCGAAATAGCGGTCGATTTGATCGTAATACAACGTTCTTGTTCATCCTTACGGGTATCGGTAAAACGCATTTCACCAGCTTTAGCTGCAGCAATGATACCGGCTTTCGATACCAATGAATCGGTCAATGTCGATTTACCATGATCGACATGAGCAATGACAGACATGTTACGAATATTCCGTTTTTTGTTCATAAGAACACGGATTTCGTCGACAGTAAAATTGACCTAAGCAAATATTGGTATATAAATCATCATTCAATCAAATAAATATTCGATAATAACTTACCATTTTTGTTGTTGTCGGTTAAATACAATAGCGATGAATTCGTCAAAAAGAAAATTTGAAATAAAAAAAAACTAAGAAAAATGAAAATAAAATGATGAAGGAGCTTTTTTCCTTTTATTGGATGATTTTTTTTTTGACGACGACGATGGTTGATGATGATTCGAAAACGTTATGGCTAAGACAATGTGTGTGTGTGAGTGTGCAGAAGCAAAATGCAATGAGAAACAATGTGTGTGTGTGTGTGGTTTTAAAACAGTGCGTTGAAAGCACGACAGGACAGCGTGTACAATACGGAAGACAGCCTATGATGTTGCTTCCACTTGTCTTCTGAGTGTGTCAATAGTTTTAGCTGTAGCTTTTTTACATTAATGAGCTTGACTTTTATTCGTACGTTCTATCTGAACAGTTTTAAAATTTTTTGATACTTTTTTCATCAATTTAATATTCAAAATAATTTCTCTGAACTTGAATTGGATGATTAATAATTGATAATTTTTTAATTAATCATCCAGTATGCATGAATGACAATTTAAGGATTGGAATATAATTTTATTTTCAAATTTTTTTCAACAACTTGGCCGGAAATTAGAATCGATCGAGATTATCTTTCACTGATTCCGCTATTTGATGAATTGCATTTTTGTCAGAAAAATCTATGAATATGGCCATTCAATTTATGATTAAAAATAGAATTATCAGCTTGTTATTATCAAAAAGACGGGAATAAAAATTAAAATCATTGAATCAAACATTGTATATGAACGGTTATTGCATACGTCATGCTAATATTGGCTGTACGTCTATTATAATAGCGGCTCGTGCATTTTTTGAAATAAAATTTTTCCACGTATTCTTCGGATATCGTATACTTTCATCGAGATAAACACTGAGTGTATATTGGATTTATTAAATTTTTCCATCAATTTTTTCGACCACCATGTTGACCATGACCAGAAACATTCCTTTCATATTGTTTGTTCTAATAAGCTGGACATTAATGGTCAGTACAGATGAACAGAATTCGGATCGTGCGAGGTTATTGGCTGAAAAACAAGTGCTAAATAAATATTTGGTCGAAAATAAAGACATTCTGATTAATTACAACATTTTCAATGTTGGTTCTAGGTTTGTAGAAAAATTAACCTTTTCCATTTGACTCGTTTCTAATATATACGATTTATTGTTTACATATTCAAAATTAGCTCAGCAATAAATGTTAAACTTTCCGATAATACATTTTCGTTGGCTCATTTCGATATTGTTGGTGGTTCATTGAAATTTACAATACCACGAATTGCACCGTAAGTAAATCAAAATTTGAAATCAACTCTTTTATTTAATAAATATTCTTAGACAATCAAATACAACGCACACTGTTGTCGTACGACCTAAAGAAGGTATATGGGGTCGTTTTAATTTTACCGCTGGTGAATTGATCTATTCGAGTGAAGGAAGTAACGAATTACAATATGGATATACAAGTGAACCAGGTGATGGATATATTGTTTCACTCAAAGAATTTGATAAACGATTCTCACCACATTATGTAAGTTATTGCTTCAATGATATTGATTGCTTAAATCGAATCTTTTTTATTTCGAAAAAAATAGTATGATTGGGCCGCATTTTTAATCATCTCAATGGCAACCGTTTTACTTCCATATCTTCTTTGGAATGGTAGCAAAAATAAATATGAAAAATTAAGTGCTCGAAAAACAAAATGATCTGATGGAATGAATGAGTGAATCAATCAATCAATTTTCTTTATATTCATCATTGTTAATTGTATATGGGAATAATTATTTTATAAATAAAAAATTTTGAAAAAAATCTGCCATTTTTTAGCCAACAAATTGATTAAAGTTTTACTCTTGATGTCGGTGTTTTGAATATAATCGATATTTTCGGTATAATTGAATGATCACCACGAATTTTCACACGGCCAGATTTGCATGCTTGTTCCAATGTGAAACGATGATATGTGAGCCGCACAAAATCATTATCTGTCATTGTCATGATGGCAAATGATTCGCTTTCGGGTAGACCACGATCAAATACACCTGTACGATCATTTTTACCAAAATCTAATTTATATTCGGCTGCCACTTGACCATCTTTGAAAATTTCGAATCCAATCAATGTTGGAATCTCTTTACATAGATATGGTAATCGAATTAAACGTTGAATCAACTCGACAATCATCATTTCGCTTCGTAATCCGGGTTTAAGATCCTATTCGGAAAAAAATAAATTGGTAAATTGTCTATCTGAACAAAACCATTACTCACGGTTTTTGACATGAGGTCCGTTATGAAAGGAAGTTCGGGTGTTTTACCCATTTTCTGTAATTCCAACCAAAGTGAATATAATCGTTGCAATAGCAATATATTGCCCTTTACTTTCAATTTACCCATCATAAATGCCTGTATATAGAGTTTAGATTTAAATTAGAAATTAGAAATAATTGATCTATTTTAAATACCGTTTGATGATTGACTTACTCTTTGTGGATTCAATTTGCCAAACATCAATTTAATAAGATCATCATCTTCAGCTGTAAGCATACAATCTGGTTTACCATTCATAAATGGTTTATTATAAACGCATCCAGTTGGATTGGTTTTATTCTCAGCTGACCAAACAGTTTTTGGTTGACCATTCAATAAGATATTGAATTGATAGCTAGCAGTCAGTCGTTTCATAATTTCTGGCTCTTCATGCATTCGATTTCGGATTATAGTAAACATTATATCGCTTTTCAATCCAGTTGTCGGTATTGAACGTAATAATTCTTCATCATCCTGATCATTATCATCATTATTATTGGCAACAGGATGGTTATCTTTCGACTGTTGATGATCAGACATAGGTGTGATTGGTTCATCTTCAGACCATAATTGTTGCAATTTTTGTGCTGCCGTTATATTCCCACTAACCTGTAGTCGGCCACCAATGAATGCTAACATTGGTTCATCACGTCCTTCGAATATATCGACCAATGCATCATCTTCTACGGTCAATATACATTCGACAGGTAAATCCGATCTTGGTCCATGATAAACTTCACCGTTTCCATTTTTTAAATCCAATACTAATGTATTTATGGTCAACGAAATTGGAATTCATTCAAAATCTTTAAATGAAATATAAATAAATTGAATAAAAACTTACTCCAAACGCTAACCAATTTTCCTTGTCTGGTAATATTAAATTGACAAACCGTATTGATTAATGGGATAAGTTCGGAATGTTTAGCAATTCTTGGGCGGATTTTTTCATCGAAAATTCGATTAACTTTACAGTCGATGTCCGTTCCGGGAGCAATCACAATCTTGTCCGATGAAAAATCGGCCATTTTCGGCGATTTCGGCAACGGTGTTTTCAGATCGACAAATGAAGAGGAAATAATTTTGACACCAGTTTCTCGAACAAAACACTCAAAATGTATTCGTACAATATTTTGATCATTGAATGAATCAATATCCGATTTCCATACAAGAGTTTCAATTGTTTGGCCAGGTTTTATGGTCCCGGTGAAGCGAACTTTAATCGAATCAAAATAATGACAATCGTAATCAGCATAGACGGCCACTATGTGACGGGTGGCAAATCCCAGTGCACACAATCCGTGTAGGATTGGTTGGTTGAAACCTTTTTTCAGAAAAAGAAGAAAATTATGAAAATAAACGATAAACGACAAGATCGATCACACTCATATGAAGAAGAAAACCTGGCTAGTTATTTTGTTGTTGTTGTTATTTTTGTCATGTTTTGTTAAGTTTGTCTAAGTCAAGATAACAATTGCACATTATCTTGGATGATGATGTGTGTATTCCGAAGAAGTGGAACAAACACATACATATGAAAACCGGTCTGATAGATGCTATGTTTTGACCGAAAATCGGGACAACGATCATTACCGACTTGTCCGAAATAAGCGTTAACCTATTGTCTCTTTTTTTCATTTTGTTGGTCACAATTGATGTTGTTTACACTGACATCACACAATACATTCATCACATTCGCACTATTTCGAAAAAATATGACATTCCATCTCCATCTTCGATTGTGTTGCTTACCTGCAATTTTGGAAAAATTACTATCAATATGCAATGGATTTTTATCTCCACATAGCCGAAACATAGCAGCCTGATCATTGGTAGTTGGCTGTGCAATTATCCAATCTGGTGGTCTATCATTTGGAACATTTTCTGTAGTAATTATTGCTGGAATTTCTGTATGCCTTTTTCCGCCAAAATTACCGCTACCAATCATGAAGAATGATAATTGATTATAGAAAATAGGCAAATTATTATCAAATGTTGTCACTGTTTTTTGCATATGAAATAATGATAGATATGAAATATGAATGAATGAGATCAAGTTAAAAATATCACCAATGTATCAATTACCTTCAATTATAATCAAAGCACCTGATGATCCTTTGTCGAGTACATCCAATATTTTCGTTTCACATGCTAATGTTATTGGAAGACGAGTAATTTGCTCGTAGATTCGAAGATATTGTTCACCATGTAATGTACGCATTAGATTGTCTTCCAATTTATATTGTTCAATCACTTTTTCGAGTATATTGCTTCGATAGACAGCATTCAATGAAATAGTGGTTGCCATTGATGGTAATATAGAAAAATTTTCATCATTTTCATATAAATAACGAAGATGATTTGGTTCTTCGGTTGAAACTCCAACTATGGGAAAGGAAGAAATCATTTTAATTGGTCAGAAAATACAGGAATCTGTGGCTAGTCAAACCTGAAAGAGCGTATAGAATTGCATCTTCAACCGTAAGATTAATGTAAACACGATCAGATTGAGTTTCAGAGTTTGTCGAAATCGGTTCAGGTATGTCATCACCACGTAGTTGAGTCATCAACAATACAGTATGATCTGAAGAAATAAAAATTTTACACACTGAATATCATTCATCAAAATCAAACCTTCCATTCCAGTTGGATTCGTCGAGCCATTTGACATGTCGGTAATCTGTGACCAATTATTATGGATATCTTCGATTGAAATTCGATCGGTATCAATGAAAATTTTTCCTTTCGAACGCTGCCATTGATAACGACCAAAATATCCACCAGCTGCTTCGATCACTTCACCATTGGCTTGACATGATTCATGACATAGATAACCGACCATCGGTGCTACACAACTTGGTTTTAGTAGATTGAAAATTTCTATTGATAATGATCATCAAAAGAATCAAATTATTGGTCATTTGAAAAAATTTTAATTACAATCAACCTTCGGGTAATAGATCTTCGGTCAATCGAGAAGCAGCAACAGGTACAATTGTGTTACATTTGATATCATATTTACTGCCTTCGATGGCCAATGTTTTTGCCAATGCCAACAGGCCAAGTTTGGCTGAATTTTTGCCAGAATAAAAAGAAATGTACAACTTATTAGTATGTGTGAATGCATGTATAATATGTCGGTCATACCGGAACTATAATTTGCTTGGCCAAAATTTCCATAAATCCCAGATGGTGATGCTGTCATTATGATTCTATAATTAGAAAATCAGAAAAAATCATCAAATAACAAAGTTTCTTTCGCGCGCAAATACCGTCCATAATTCTGTTGACGAAAATATGGCCAAGCTGCTTTGGTTGTCAAAAATGATCCACGAAGATGAACACGATGAACAAGATCTATTTAAAAGATTGATTTATCAATTATAGATTATGAATAAATTGACAACAACAAGTCAACTGACCAAAATCTTCTGCTGTCATTTTCATTAGTGATTTATCTCGTAAAATACCTGCATTATTTATTAGAATGTCTATGTACGGAAAAATAGTAAATTGATCTAGAAATCAATCCACAATATCGATTTACCGATTCGGCCAAAGTTATCGATTGCAGTTTGTACAATTTTTTCGCCTTCTTCCACCGAATCTAAAGATCAGGACCATATTATTGATTGAGGAATCTATGGAATTTTTTTTAGGAAACTTACTGTAATCAGCAACAGCTTGGCCACCACGTTCTTGGATCTCTTTGACAACCGAATCAGCGGCAGCAAAACTTTTGCCCGTTCCATCGCGACCACCACCAAGATCATTGACTGTGTGAACGAAATAATTTAATGAATTATGTACCATCGTCTAAAACAGAATTACCAATAATGGCAGCTCCTCTTGATGCTAATAGCAGAGCATATTCACGGCCTAAACCACGTGCGGCCCCAGTTATGATGGCAACTTTTCCGTGAAAATTCAGTAACATTGTCTTTCATGGAAAACAGAGGAAAATTTTTCTTATCAGTGACACACTATTTGACAAATCAAAACAAAACAAAACAAAACTTTCCAACACTTTTTGTCAACAACAACATGAAATGCATCGACCAAAAAAAGTGGTTTTTCTCTTTCTCTTTTTTTGCAAAGAAATTGAAATGCACACACATCGTATACATTGCAGCGCCAAAAAAAAGAAACCGGTCTTTTGCTAATCTACACATTTAGTAATCGATGAAATGATGATGATGAAACCTATTATTTTGTGAAAAAAAGAAAAAATTTTAATCAACAACAGATTTTATTTATTGAAATTCAATTTATAATGTGATGTGATGAATGATGATTATTGCTTCAAACAAAATGCAAAAAAAAAGAAAAATTCGTCATTTAATTGTCGGATTGAAATTTCAGAGGTTTTTCCATCAAAATTGGAGAAAATTGATTGGTTCTATCAATCAAATGTCCAATTGAGATTACGTTTTAAATATAATAGATATCTTTGAATCAATTCTTTTTGCCAATTTTGCTCAGATTTCGTCATCATCATTACTGTTGTAGAATTGGACAATATTCTATGATAAAAATTTAATTCTCTTTCTTTAAAATGTTCAATTCGTTCTGGATACCATATACATGCTGCATGTAAAATATGACGTCGATGTGAAAATAATGATTCTTGGGCCGGATATAATGGCCATAATGTGGATAACCATTGGAATTCATTCAAGAATATCTGACAACATTTATCTAATGATGATGACAAATCATCATCTTCATCATTAGTAAATGAATTTAAATTGGCAGTAGTTGTGCGAGTGGAAGATTTGATATTTGTTCGACTTAATTCATGTACAAAATTGAACAAGAATTGTCTATGTTGGAAGCCACTATAATCGGAAATATGTCGTTCTAGCCATTCGGCTGTTATCATCAGGTCATTGATTATTTTCTATAAATACAAATAAAATTTGTATAATTCGAAATATTTTAAAAGATTGCAATACAATATACCCGTACATTTATAACATTGGCTGGATGATTATTATGGACAATGTAAACGGTTAGAAGCCATGTACGATGACTCCAAGCATAATAATTACGTTGATATCGAGCGGCAGCATCAAGTGTAACACGTAATTCATTCGATACAACATCTTCATTCATTGATCGACCATTATCAAGTTTAATAAAACTGTTTAATAGCCATTCACGATAGGTAAAAACACTGGCACATTTAGGTTTTCGTATCAACACCAATTGAGTGAAATCAAGTTCTTCCAAATGGGAATCTATCGATGATTTGTTGAGCAAATCACGTCTGAATATTTGAATTGAAATGATTATTTGAAGAATCGATTAGAAATGACAAACGAACCTTAGATTCCAAGCTGTAGTAAAATCAGGGTTGAGCAATAATAAGATTCTTGTCCATTGATTGAGTAAAAAGGACTCTGAAATACAATACTCCAAATTGAGTTGACTATTTTCTAAATTTTTCCAAAAAGAATACCTGTTCGATTATAGGTGGATTGTTTTTTAAAATTCAACATTTTTCCGTAAGCATATTCATATAGATGTGGAACACACCATTTTTCCAATGCTAAATGATGATCACTATAAATGACTGGACTTTTATTGCACGTAGATTCGGCCACTTCGATTATATCAAATTCGACTCTAGTATAACGAAAAAAACGATGTGATTTAAATTCAATTTTTTCATCAACAAAATTCCTACATGTTTGGATCACGTCGGAAAATGTTATCCAAATCCAATAGGATTCGTTCGCAAAGTGAAATCTTTTCTTCTTCATCCATTTGTGATGAGTATGGATCAAACTTTTTTGACAATCTAATGGTCAATTTTTGGAGAAAATCATGAAAAAAATGAAATTTTATTTACATTCTAAAACTGCAGTTATTTGTATACATACACGAACATATGAGAGAGATGGACACTTGTATCGATACTTGAAAATCGATAGCCGAAGAAAACTCTGTTTTTTGTTTTCGTTTGCAATTATGATCAAGATGATGTTCATGTCAAGGATGATGGATCCAACAACAATAAACAGATAGCTTACCTTGATTTATTTTTTAAATCAAGTCATCAAATCATTGTCTTCATTGATTGCCTGTGATAATTATCATCTTTAGCATTACGAATCATTGATCATCATCATCATCGCCAAATCAACCATTTATTTTTTAATTAAAATAATAGAATGGCCAAATTCCTCTATAATTATCAGCATAATAATAATAGAATCATTCAGTTGCTCAAACCATCAAGTTTGCTATATTCATCATGTGTTTACACATTCAAACATAATCTATAAAAATACGGGTTGGAAGGTTTGCAAAAAAACAGAAATATTTTTATCATCAGTAACTATAATGTCAATCCATAATGAATAATTGTTGTCAAACCTAATCATCCGTTGAATTTTTTTCTTTTTCGTAAAAATATTTTGTAGTTTCCATTCCAAACGCCTATAAAAAGCCTTGCGCCATTAATTGTTTAGATTAATAAAAAAAAGTGGCGCCGTATTCAAAATAATAAATTACTCATGTGATCAGCAGCCAACCAACCACCATATCAATTCAACAATCAATCAATCATCATCATCATTGATAATACTTGAATGAAACTCCTCTTTAATGATTCCAAATTGATGATACAATAACAAGTAACAAGCGCAAAAAGCACAAGTTCAATGGTCCACACGAAACATTTAAAAAACGATAAAACACAAACGCATAATCAATCGTAATTGATAATCAATAACACTTGTTGTATGTTGTTGTTGTATACTTCGTAGATACAGGCTTCAAAAATTTTGAAAGCTTTCAAATATCTTTCTTTTTATCTCATCCTTATTTTATTATTAATTGTTTAATAATTATCCCACATTGGGCATCCGTTTTACCGTAACGGATTACCTTCCACTATCAATTTGGTGCATTGCAGCCAAACCAAAAGGCATCAGTCTATCATCATCATCATCAGCAGCCAAACATCAGAGCACCATTTGTCTTTCAATAATTTGAATTTGTGAAAAATTAACTCAAATCCTCTGATATTTCGTCCAAAAAAAAAGAAAAAATGGACAACCCAACCATCACGACAGGAAGATCAGGCAACCATTTGTCTTTGCTACAAAAACTGGCCATCAGTATGGGTCATGTATTCAACGATTTATGTGCAGCATTCTGGTTCACATATCTACTAATTTATATGCATTTCGTCAATCAATTTAATAGTAATACTTCGGGTACGCTTATGTTGGTCGGTCAAGTTGCCGATGGATTGGCCACACCATTCGTCGGTATTGAATGTGATCGAAAATTGGATTGGTTTTTCTGTAAATACGGACGTAGGAAATGTTGGCATTTGATAGGAACATTGTGTGTATTTTTATCATTTCCATTTCTATTTAATCAATGTATTGGCTGTGAAAATTCGCCGGAACATTCACAGATAATCTATTATGCTGCATTTATCACGATATTTCAATTTGGTTGGGCAGCGGTCCAGATTTCTCATCTATCACTGATACCAGCATCGACACCACATTCATCTGAACGTATTGAATTAAATTCTTACCGTTATGCATTCACTGTGTTTGCAAACATAACCGTTTATATACTCATGTGGCTACTATTGAAAACAAACGATGAACAAAGTGGATCACAAATTAGTCCAAGTGATGCATCGACATTTCGTAATGTGGCTTTCATCATTATTGGAATGGGCACCGTATTCACATTGATATTTCATGCTGGAACACGTGAACGAAACACTGATAATGATGGTGAAGTAATGGATCAAGAACAACAACAACAACAACAGGTGGCAACATTATCGACCGATTTGAGAGACGAATGTCGTGTTACAGTATGGCATGGATGGTTGAAAGAAATTCGTTTCTATAAAGTAGCATTACTTTATATGGGAACACGTTTAACGATCAATCTGACGCAGGTTTACATTCCAAATTATCTCCAAGAAAGTTTATATTTACCAAAAGTATGTGATATTGTTTCATTTGTTTGTTAAAATTATTTTTTATTACAACATACGTTTTCTTTGATAAAATAGAAAAGTGTTGCTTACATTCCGCTGGTCACTTATACAAGTGGATTTCTTTCATCATTTCTTATGAAATACATTAATCAAACATTGGGCAAAAAGGTAAGCTAAGTTAATTTTGTGCATCGATTAATAATCATTTTGTTTTCAAACAGGTAACATATCTTATTGGTGCAATATTATCATTGGGTGCTTGTACATGGATATTTTTTGGTACCGACGAGAACTTTAAACAGTGGGGAATATTTGTTGTATCTGTCATCATCGGTGCATCAAATTCTATAATGCTTATCACTAGTCTTGGAATAACAAATGATTTGATTGGCAAAAATACGGTATAACCACAATTTCTATAAATTTTTTTGAAGATGAACTAACCAAATTCAATTCAATTCAATTGAAACAGGCAAGTGGATCATTCGTATTTGGGGCAATGAGTTTTGTCGATAAAGTATCTAATGGAATTGCGGTTTGGGTCATTGAACATTTCAAACCTTGCGCGTACGTTATATTTAATTTGATTTGTTGATGACAATTTTCATTGATTGTTTTTATTATTTTGATAAATTACCAGAACTTTTTCATGTATATGCTGTGATTATTATTATCGTGACATATTGACATTTGTTTGTGGTGGTGCTACAGCATTGGCTATTGCCAGTTTAGCTATAATGACAACGGATAAAAAGAAAAAACGACCAATTGTGGTGAATGGTAAATGATAGTGATAATGATGATGATGAAACCCGTTTGAAGAAAAGTCGAACAATTCGTTAACCAAACATTTAATCAAAGTTAACATATCGTTTCCTGATTATTTGGCCTGATTTAATTTTTTTTAATTAACCCTTTTATCATATAACTAAATAACTAACTAACTGAATTGCATTTACTAATCATCAATTAATTTGCATGGCATTTACTTTCCCTGAAATTCCATTTTATTGATTCATCTTTTTTTCTCTCTCAAACATTAATGCGATTTGTGTTTACCAAATTCTTAAATTTCACTAAATAGAATATCGAACGGCTACTGTTGTTGCTGCTGCTGCAACAATCATCACACCAGATTCTACATTGCTGTCTAATCATCATGAAAATATCATCAATAAGGATGAGTTGGAGGATGAACAAACACCATTACTCAATCATTCTTCTAATTCTATTTGCCATTAAATTCCATTTTATATATCTACCTGTGCAATGAATTTTTGATAATTTTTTCATATCATTAGGTTTGTTTTATATTGATATACACATGTTTTTTTTAAAAAATCATCAATTCAAATAAATAATTTATTTTTTACATTACTTTTTTTTTTTGTAAAAAAAGATACATTTTAAACACCTGTTTTATTAAATTTAAAAAAACATTGCATCAATGTCAAGTGTGTGCATTACGATCAAGCCGGATATCCTATTTGTTGCGTATGGATCAGCCATATACTTATTGAATTGCAATTTTCTAATTTTTTTTTGTTCAGACAATGACACTTTGTTGGCAATCATCATCATTGTTAGATACAGGAACCGCAGCAATGATAATGGAGATTGATAACAAGGCCAAGATCAAGGCTGTGTGTCGTTGTATTTCAAGTGTTTGAGACAAATGTAATATTTTAATTAGATCTAATTTTTTGTCAAATTGATAAATTATTGATTAATTATTTGAGAAAACATCCTGGTCAATCCTAAATCTAATCTAATGGGATTTCAATAAATACACACACACACACATTTTGTATGTTTAGATATTAAATAAATCTAAATTTTGAAGAAAAAAACCCACAAGCATCCAAATATCAAGTTTGAGGTCGCCACTATTATCATTGTTGTCACGTTGTCATGTCATATGAAACAGTGGATACTGCCACACTCATGCACCATAAAATCGCAATCACAAAGCCTTTTTTTTGTTGGCCATAGCTCTTCAAATAATACTTGCTCACACGAAAAAAAATTGTGAAAAAATGGTTTAAAAAACTATACTACTGGATAATAATGCCCACAACGACATAGACACCGATAAAAAAACCGTACAACCAAATCGAATCGAATTAAATCAAACACGCACAAACATGACAAAGATACCGTGTCTAAACGTTGCAGTAGAGCATCAAAGTAGATCACTTTTCACAATAACAACAATAATACCAATCTAAGAGAGAGGGTTACCACGAAAGCAAGGAAAAAAACAAAACATAAAACCACTCCAAGACAACAACCACCGCCTTCCGTTTTTTGCCATTCTAAACAATCGATTATCATCATCATCTCATGTGAACAATGAATTTTAAAACTGAAAAACAACAACAAACACAGTGTGTGTGTGTGTATGGAATCCATAATTCAATCAATGATGATGATCAACACTATTTTTCGAATGAATAACGAACAACGAAACCAGAAAAAAATGTTAATAAGAATAGGGCCCGCAAATGGGAAATGTTATTGTCTGTGTGTATCGTTTCGCTTATTAGTTATGGATCAAAAGAAAAAAATGAGAATCATGAGAATGATTATCAATGTAATGATTGTCTATGTGTGTGTGTGTGTGTGATACACAAGGGTCTAGAGATGATCATCCTGATTTATTGCAATATATATTTTCAGTTTTGTATGTGAAGAATGGTGATGGTGGTAAAAAACACACAAATTTCGGTTTTTCATTTCTAGACAATTGTTATCTATGATCTGTGTGTGTGTGTGTGTGTAATCTGTATAACAAATGGCCTTTCCAACACCATTTTTTACGTTTGCCGCCACTTGGCCCAAAATAATGATGATCAGTTGTTGTTTTCATTAGATTTATTTATTTCAATGATGTTTATCTAATACACGGACAGGAATTTTGAAAAAATTCCGGAAATATTTTTTTCTGGAGGATTGGCTTGGCCATTTTTGATTTAAATTTTTTTCCTTCATTCGTTTATTGTTTAACATTTGAGAGATTTGATTCAATCCAATCAAGTGATAATATTGTTTGACCACCATTGTCTTGTAGTGTGGTCTATGTTTGCATGTTCAACAACAACAATAGACAAAATCTGGTCATCAGCATCATCAATAATGATAACAGGATCAAAAAACAACAATAAGAACACCTACTTGAGAACAGGACAAAAACAACAGCAAAAAAAAAATAATGAGATTATCATCATCATCATTTTTGATACAATCGAAATCATTTTAAATCGAAAAAAAGGAAATTTTTTGTTACATTTAAAGTGATGTGTTTGTTGTTATTCAAATTTTCAAGCCGACTGATAAATTTTCTTTCGGTGATTTGTTTGAAGATCAAAAAAGCAAAGGTCCAAGAAACCTGAACAACACCTCCCCTACTGTGAATGAGGTGTTTTGCAAATATTTTTTTTTGTTTCAGAAAAAAAAATTTTTTTTTTTCCTTGAAATTAGCTAGCTTCAAAGTGGAAAAAAATTCTAGGTTACACTCAACCGATATATACCTGCATGTTTGGGGTTGCTTTGTTGCTAATCGAAACACCTGAAAATCGCAAAACACCTGAGATTTTTCTGTTTGTTTGTGTGTGTGTGTGTGTGTGTGTGTGTGTGTGTGTGTGTGTGTGTGTGTGTGTGTGAAAACACCAGTGAAATGATCAATAAACAACAACAACAATGTATATAACAGATCAAACAACAGTGGTGGTGGTTCCAGAAGAAAAAAAAAATAAAGAAAACTGTGGATGAAATCAAAAAGTCAATAGGTTCCACGCCTTGATTTTTTCTAAAGTTTTTTTTTGTTAGGACAAGAAAAAATCTAACAAAACTGTACAATTTTTGAAAATTAACGCCATCATCATCAGGTAAACAGTGTGTGTGTTTGTAAATACAAAACAATATTTGAATTTGAAGAAAAAAAAGTTTCAAACATATATAAAAAAAATAAGATAAACAACAAAATGAACAAAACAAACAAACAGAGAACGAGAAATGTGTCAGACCTTAATCAGGTAATTTATTGATGATTTGCAAGATTTTTGACTCTGCGTGTTTTTTTTCGTTTCTCATCATCATTTATGACAAAAAAAAAATTCAAAAAAAACCAAAAGAATCCTAGAAGCTAGGTCAGTCAGGTCGTAATCATCCACAAAACATATCATTTTCAATCCACAACCATGGTCATCATTTCATTAGTATAACATTCAATAAGGTTAATAAGTCATCAATTATTACTAGGTAGGAACACACACACACACGCACCGAAAAAAACGTGTTTCCAACAACAACATTTGTTTGTCTGTGTTGTTTCAAATCTCGTGAAATAAATAATTGAATTTCAAACAACGAACAAAAACATAGATTGAGGGAGAAAGAAAAACTAATTTACTTTTAGCACCTTTATTTTTTCTACAAACAAAATGATAACATTTGTTTGCTACCAACACACACGCACACACACACACACTAAAAATATTCCCATTTATTTATTCATTAGAATAATAACGATGATGATCATTTGTATAGGAACTGCTTGAAAACGGAAATAAATGTCATCATCATCATCATTGAGACAGATGAGAATTTTTCAAAGAAAATCTTGACATTTGGGGGTCACAACCATCACTATTGGAGTGTTTAGATTGATTTTCCTATTCAATATTTGTTTGTTACGTGACTCTACCATTCATCAAATTTATCTATGAGAAATTGTAAAAAAAATATCTAACCATGATCATACTGGTTATTGTTTTGTTTTTCTTTCTGTTCTTTCTGCCATAATTAGTTTTTTATAAATGAATTTTTAATAAACAAAACTAGTAGCTTATTATGAATGAAGAAAAGAATAAATATAAATATGTGTGTCCAAACAAGAGAGAAAAACAAAACATTGACATTTGTTTTTGGTCTCGTTGTTGTTAACGAATTATTAGTACCCTAAATAACAATAATAACCAAGTGGACCATTTGATGATGATTATGGTGATCAATGTCAGCCAAAAAAAGAGACAGAATTGGCACCTCGATGAGAAAAGATATGTTTGTTCGGTGAATGCATTGAAAAAAATCCAGTAAATAAGAAAAAGACGCACACACACACACACACACATTCGATGGTGTCAATGGTAATCACCTATGTTTTTATCTACCAAGCAAAATCTACATCGGCTATAACTTATAAAAATAATAATAATAGACCAAACATTATCATTAGAGAGAGAGAGAGAGAGAGAGAATAGTCATATCAGTGTACAATTTGATTGTAGATTGAAGAAAAAACAAAATTCCAAATGATGATTATTATTATCATCATCACCGTCTTCGTCTTTGGTCGTCGTCGTCTTTTAGTGGTCTTTAATTATCTAAACAACAAATCCGAATATAAAGAGAATGTAGAATTCAACAGAAAAAAAAACAAAACAAAAAACAACATTTCTCATCATCAAAACAATCAAACGACAACATTGAACAAATTTCGATTCAAAGATCGTGTAGTTTTTTTCTGTGTGTGTGTGTGTAGAGGCTAATTTGTTTGTTTGTCCGTCGATGCTGAAATTATGATGATGATGATGATGATGAATTTTTCAAGTTTTTTGCTTTCAAAGTAGAGAGATTTGAAAAAATGGGTAGCTATCATCAACAATCAAAAGATGAATGAAATGATTTGTTTTTTCTTTCTCAAATCTTCAAAGAAAAACAGGTCTTTTTACACCAATGTCGGTAAAATTAGATCACTGCTTTGTTGACCACAGCAACATTATCGTGTCAACAACGAAAATGGACATGATGATGACATGACCATAATAGTGATGTCCGCGGACAACACATGTATGTCGATTGTCCGAATAAAAAGTGTAAAACAACTTTGAACCATTTTTGGTGAATGATTTAAATTTTCAATTTTTTTTCAAAGCATATCTCTAATCTGCATTCATTATCAGATGAATAAAGTCAAATATTTCATTTTTTACGTGATCATAAATCATCATATGTTTGGTGTGTGTGTATCATTTGCCAAAGCAATATATTGATGATTTAAAAAGTCAAATAAATGATTTGTTTCGAAAGCCGCAAGCCGATCGAATTTATCATCAGTGAATCCACGAAACATTAACAAGCCGAAAAGATCCAATTATTCATCACCTTGATGATAGTCGAATGTATTTTGTTTTCTTTTTTTGTCCCGAAAAATGGGAGAACAAAAATATATTCGTCCATCGAAAATGGATGTGATCAGACAAAAAATAGCAAGAGATAATGATCACCATCACCAATCAGTCTATGAAATGGCTATAATCATCATCATGATCTGATTCGAATCAATCGTTTTCGATCTAGAATTAATTGAATGTTTTTCTCCAAAACTAAAAATCCGAAAATTAGTACCAAAAAAATGATGATGATGATCAGTGGAAAAACCACAATCGTTGCCGCCTCAACAATGATTGTGGTCATCATCATCAGCATCATTATCAACCAGCAACAACAAAAACCATGATAATGAATGCCAGAAGGCATTTAATTGATGGGGAGTCTTTCGCTTTTCCTATGTCCACCTCTTCAATCCATTAATGAATTTCCATCCAATGAAATCCACTAGGGTTAATTGTCATTGACAAATGAAAGAAGAAAAAAATCCAACTGCTTTCCCGATAACGATAACCTGAAACCTATGATCCAGGCAACGAAGCGCAAACAAAATTTGAAAATGATAACCTTGGATGTTTCGTGCCGAGAACGTGATTTGACTTTTTTTTATCATCAAATGTCATTCCATTTTTTTTCGAAAATTAATTTCAAGTAAATTTCATCATTATTCATAGATTTTGTGAAAAAAGAAATCAAAGAAATTCTGAAATGAAAATGATTAGCATATAATAATGAAAATCAAATGAAAAATGAATAAATCAATATATAGAGCTTGAAAGTGCGCGCGTGTGTCAAAGCATAACATACACGTTGATCACAAATTCATTTGCATATATCCGGGGCCAAATCGAATCGAAACAAATTATTTTATTACACAGAAATCAAAGTACATGATGGTCAAGATGATCATTGTGGAGAAAAAAAAATGAAAAACATACACGCGATATGATCGACAACAAACTTGACGGTTGGAAGCACGCGCGTGTGCGTATTCAAAATATTTATATAAATTACATTTTTTATAATCAAAGACAAAAAATGCTGCGATTCGATTCGAAAAAGAATTTAATTCGATTTTTTTGTGCGTATTCTCTGTGCGGACAAATGACAAAATTATGTCCGAATGATGACGACGATGATGATGAGATGGATCAAGTGAACCATAAAAAACAAACTCACAGAAAGTTTCCTATATTAAATGACACAATAGAAAAGTGAATCTATGACATTCGCACGCGGTGAAGCAATTCTTTATCATCCACATTTGTTTTGTTTCGATTCAATGATTATAGCGCAAGCAGAGAAATGTTATTATTTTATGATTACTTTGCAGCAAATATAATAAATCCAAAAAAATCAAATATCAATCAACAATTCACTCATCATAAAAAGAATTCTATTTCGGTTTCGATATAACAAAAATAGAATTCTGTTCATCGATACTATTTACGATAATAGAAATACCATATATCGCGCCTGATTGATTTCTATTATTAAACACAAACCTTTGTTTGTGTGTTTGATTCTCTCGGATCAATGATCGCCACTATTCAAGTTTATGTTTATAGTGCTGGGTTTTTAGTCAAGTTTGATCAAATCAATTTCGATTGATTCGATTGTTATTCAATTCATAATCCATAATCTATAAAAATGAGATTTTCCATTCATTCATTTGGACTAAATATTGATATTCGAAACCAACAAACAAACATACATAGACACTCACACACTCTTCATGTGATGTTTTATGGTTGATTTATAATCGTATATATGGTAGTATAAGTGAGACTAAACGTTCAACATATAACATCATCATCATTTAGGCATAAGAAATGCCCATCAAAATAAATAAATAAATCACTCTATGTATAGCTTGTTTAATTCGGCTTGGATATTAATATTTGGGAGAAGTTGTTGTTGTTGTTCATATAATAGTAATAGGATAAATATTTGGATTTAGCTAACACATTTCAAGATATGTCTTCCATGCTTTTCAACAACAACAACAACAACAGCAACAACAACAGATAGATACAGAAACAGCCAGTCATCCAAAACAAGAATGAATTAATTGAATGAGTGAAGGATGTGCTGTTGCTGCTTGGATTTGAAAATCGATTTTGTTCATCACATTCAGATTAGGAGTCATAATGTATGTGATGTGATGGATGAAAGAATGAATGAAATAGTTAGCCTTCTTGAACTGGAATTGAAAGGAATGGCTCAAAATGAATGTTCTATGTGAAAAACGCGAATGAATTGAAACACTAAAGACAGAACAAGAAAGAAAAAAGTTTCGGATGAATGGCCAGAAAATGACTTCAGACACACACACACACGCACACACACAGACAGAAACACATCCTCAATGTATAGAGAGATCTAATTCATTCATTCATATACAATGAGACTGTATAACAACAAAAAATGAATATAAACTTCCTATTCCTACAATCATACTCCCTAATGATTTCCAAAAAAAAACCATGGCGACATTGTTATTGTTTGTTTGTTGTTTCAAACATAAATTCTGAAACAACAACAAATGACATGATGATGAATGGACACCGGGCACTGGAGAAATTCTGGTATATTGAATCGCTACTAACTAACTTTTAACTTTAGTCATTCAACAAACCAACCAAGAAAAAAAACAACAGTTTATCTTTCTCATAAACAGCATTATAAAAAAAAACTAACTGTGATACAAACAAACAAACAAACAAACAAGCAAAACCAAATATTGAACCAAACAACATAAACAAAATTGGATCAAAACACACACACACACACATAGAGGGTGGTCCATCAACCATTTATTTATTATATATGCTACACGATTTGTGGTTTTTTTGTGTGTTTGTATTTTGTGTGCAATTCTTTTTGCTTCGATGATTCAAAACAAAATTGATACAAAAACTAGAGAAATAGCCAATTGGCATCAAATGGTTAGCAATGATCATTGCTACTACTACTGCTACTATATCCATTCTATAAATTATCTCCGCCTATTAAATATCGTATATATCTTTACACACAAAATACACATAGTTTTTCTCATTTTTTTTCATTCAGACACATTGATTGCCCAGAAAACACACATGGGGAAAAACAAACTAAAATTAGCTTGAAAAAAGAGACAGAGAGAACTAGCAAGCAAGAAACAAGCCAAGCAAAGCACTATTTTGGATAACGCCTTAATTTTTTTTATTCAACATTTTGAAATGTTGAAAAACATACAGAATAACCACGGATGGACAGTGTGTGTGTGTGTACAATATTTCTTGGATAAACATTAAACCAAACACATACATACGATACATGCGATAAATACGAATACAAACAACATCAACAAAAAAAATGCCATTCGATACGATGATCATGATCATGATGACGGCGATAATGATTGCCATTGCCATTAAATGATTGCTGATGTGCTTGTGCTGTTGTTCATTGAATGTGATGTTCATTCACAGAATTAATCAAGGTGTCATGATGAATGAGTTTTTGTTTGTAAACATTAAATGTTGAACCATCACCACAATGTGTTGGACATGATAATAATTTTAATAAATTCAAATTTCATCCATATTTTCACCATCATCAGTGTGTTGTGAGTGTATCAATCAATCAATCGATGATGAATGAACAACATCCGATTGATAACCGATTATTTATTTAACTTTGAATCTTTTATTTCTTTCTCTCTCTGTGTGTGTGTGTGTCAAATTTTAAAGTTTTTAAATTTTCATACAAAGTGTATAATTTCATTTCCATCAGATGTGCGTGTTTTGTCATTGGTTTGATTAACCAGGTGTGACAAACGACAAAAAAAAAAAATGCCTAGGCCAGGTCGAAATACATATGGTGATCAAAAGCCACCATATTCTTACATATCATTAACATTTATGGCAATACAAAGTTCAGAAGAGAAAATGCTCACATTAAATGACATCTATAAATTCATTATGGATCGATTTCCATACTACCGGAAAAATACGCAAAGATGGCAAAATTCCTTGCGTCACAATCTGTCTTTCAACGATTGTTTCATAAAAATTCCACGGCGTCCAGACAAACCAGGCAAAGGTAGTTATTGGGCTTTACATCCAAATTCTGGTGATATGTTTGAGAATGGAAGTTTTTTACGTCGTCGTAAACGTTTTAAATTGATGAATGGCCGTTCAATAATGGCAAATGGTCGAAAAATGGATCATGAAATGAATGATTTGAAAAATTATGATTCATCCGACAGTATGGATGAAAAATCGAACAAATCATCATCGATGATCTTACCATTTGCTCATCACCATGATGATGATCATCATCATTACAAATCGATAACAATGAAATCGAATCAAAAATCTGGAAAAAATGACAAAATCAAATCAATGGCTTGCTTGAATAATATTGATAACGATAGACAAACAACGAAAACGTCGAAAACATCATCATTTGCAAAACAATCATTTTCTATTGAACATTTAATTGGGCCGCAAAAAGATTCGACTACGGCCACAACAATTAAATCGAATCCATTGTCTGGATTAATTGTAAATAATACAGATGTAGCTGCAACCGCTAATGCAATTCAAGCAGCACTTTCAGCCGCATCATCGGTTTCAAATCATTCCTTATTTTTATCATCAGCATCTGGTCATCATCAACAACAACAACAACAACCACATTTATTTCGCACGGAAACGGGTAATCCGTTTCGTTCGATATCATCAACAACATCGGGACTGCCACTTTTATCGCCACCATCGACGACGACAACGTCAACAACAGTAGCATCAAATTCACCACCATCATCTACTGCTGCTGCTGCATTAGCGGCATTAAATCCACTAACGTGGACAACATCACCATATGCAGTGGCCGCTGTTGCAGCTGCCTCATTATCATCACAATTGAATGTTCCATTATCATCGGCCGAATTTCCTCAATTATTCAACGCTTCATTGTTGAACGGCAATAATAATGCTGCAATGACAAACAACAACAACAACAACAATACTAATAGTGATTCCTTCTCAACAAATCTAGCCAATCAATTGTCGTTTGTGCGACAGAATTTCTTTCAGAATATTTCTCATTTTCAGACATTTGCATTTGCAGCCGCTGCTGCTGCGCAAGCTGCTCAAATTAATCATCATCATCATCATCATCCTAATCATGATGCTGCCGAATTATTACGTGCAGCAGGTTCAGCAACACTAACACCACCACCAAATTCATCATCACCATCACCACCGATACGTGTAGATTCGGTCAGTAGTCAAACATCAACAAGATCATTGGACATTTTGAATGATGCCATTGCATTCAAATAATATTTAAAATCATCATAATAGATTGACACACACACACACACAAATCATCACCATTCTATAATTTGAAAACACGAAAAAAACGAAAAAATTCTCAACACTCACCTTTGATATTTACTTAAATTTAAAAGAAAAATCTCATTTCACCCACACACAGCAACCCACCTTAATTGAAATATATGTAGGCAAATTCAGTTTGAATTTCAGTCAATCAATCAATCGATATATAGAATCAAACGACAATGACATCATCATCATTTTGTATCTCAACTCATCTCTCGCAGACATTTGTATTTTATAAATTTGTAATTCAAATTACCGAATTTTAAACATAAAAAATTTAATTTCAGCTGACAACGATTGATTTTTTTCTTGTTCAATTTTTTCTCTGTTTGTTTGTAAATAAAAAAGCTACTTATTTATTTGTGACACGACCACAACATTGTGTGTTTTATTATAGTCATCATCAATTTTGATCGATTTATTTATCGAACCACAAAAATATATCGGTTCGAATTGACATTTTTCGATTATCGGGTCTGTGTGATTGTTTTTGATTCAATTTTCGCTTGAATTGTTTTGTCTTTGTGTGTGTGTGATGGTTACCTTGGTGATAATGAAAAATTTTGGTTTTTTTTCACTTTGTGAAGCATACTATTTTTGGGTTGAAATATATAAACCAAACACACATGTCAGAAGGGAATGGCAGGAATAAATTGAATTGGATTCTTCCGAAAAGTCAATATTCATTTCACATAATTGGCCTGGATATTTTTGGAACCATTTCTTCTGGATCGATTTGAATTATTTTGTATTTCGTTTGATTTATATTTTCATGTTTTTTTATCTGATTATATTTCTGGTTGTGAATCTATTAGCTTGTTGCAGTCAAATATTGGTAATGGCAGTATAAATCAAATCAGACCATTGAATTGTCTCGATGATGAGGGAAGAAAATTATAGCTTTTATCTTTCTTTTTCTCATTATTTGTTGGTGATATTGTTGAATTTGTTGAAAATGACAATTGACATTAAAGGGGATGATAGAATGATTTTTTTCGGGTTGAGGTTCTACACAAGCACGCCTAATTTATTTATTATTTGATCTAAACTCATATGTTAAATTTCAAATGCAAAAAAAACAATCGATTGGCGGGGCCTTTTTTTTGCTCCGATCAATCAATCAATCAATCAATCAAATTGAATAATTTTCAAATGGAAAAAAACGAACAATACCTATTTAATCTTGTCTGCGGAAAAAACATCCTGATAATTTTTTTTTGTTGTAAAATTCTATATTCAATTCTTGTTATTTTTAATCTTTAACTTTTTTGCAAGCTGGATTCAAATTAAAGCGGTTAAATGTGTTCTGGTCAATATCGCGATACATATCATGACACGACAAATGTTTTGTATGGTTTATCTTTAACTTTGCCAATTCCAAATCAAATGATTGCTTGTTCACAAGAAAACAACAAAAAATGTGTGTGCGTGTGTATGTAACCAGACCGTTTTCACAGGGATCAAAGTTCATGACCAGAATATTAGAAATACAACACAAAATTGGATACCTTTCGGTCGATCAATAGATCGAACAAAACAAAACGAAAACAAAAAAGGTGCGATAATTTGTTCAATAAACGCTACCTTTTGCCGATAAAAAACACCACCACTTTGGAAACTTTCATCTTTTTTTCCAATGGCACAAATTTCGAGGAAAACATACATGAAATCCAAGAACAAGTAAAGTAAAGTAAAAAAAAGTCGAAACAACAACAAAAAAAGCCGCCGAAGCTTCTGCTGTTGTTGTTGTCTATGATCATAATCATAATCATCAAATTCATGGCTAAAGGCAACACGTTCAACAACGATTACGATGATGATGATGATGATGATCAACAATCATAATTGTTGTAAACAAATATACCCCATGTGTGCCCCCTATAACAATGTATTGTTCTGGTTCAGAACATCATCATATAATTGTTCGGCAGGTTTTTTTTTTGTTTTGTTTCGGTGAGTTCTAAACTTTCAATCGTTCAAATGAAAATTCCAACCATGAGATTGTGTGTGTGTGTCTTGTTTTCGCACATTCTACTTTCATTTTATACTATGAAATTGTTGTTTTTTTTAAAAAACACTGAACGATCAAATAATATAAATACGTGAACCAAGGATGGTCTTCTTCTCATCAAAGCAACAACAGCAGCAGCAGTAAACTTTTCAATGTTTACAGGAAGGTTAATTTTTTTTTTGTTACAATTTGTTTGGTCGATCTGTCGGTGGTGACCTTTTATTATTGTTGTTGTTGGTGAGTGTATGTTAACCTCAGCCTTGAACGTGTGTGTAATTTTTTTTCTGTTGTTTTTCAAGTGTTGCATATTGATTAGCTAGTGTGTGTGTGTGTGTGGATTCTCATTATAATCATCATCGTACGAATTGAATTGAATTACAACATCCTCATCATAATCATGATGGTGGCGGTGGCGGCGGCGGTTCTTCTTCAATTCTTTTGTAGGCTTTTATTTCGCGGTAGAAAAACAAAAAACATCAAATCATCGTATAACCAATCTATTAACAGCACGAGAGAGAGAGAGAGAATATTTATTTATTTAATAATTATTATCATTATCATTATTTACCATGGATATCTATGACTAAATGTTTTCTCTTGGGCCAAAATATCTAAATGATAATAATGTCAGCTGTGGGTTTGTTTTTTCTGGTTCATGTTTATCTATCTAGCACCAAGAAAAATTGAAGCTTCTCTGAAAAGAAATCTATTTCATTTTCTCAGTAGTGCTGGTGTTGGTCGTAATGATGATGATGGTGGTGGTTGAAGGCAAAAAAAAACAATTAGCCATCTGTTCAACAAATTGTGTTTGTGTGTAAAAAACAATTGCTTGTTCAACTGCACTGATAGACAGAAGATAGGAAACGGTATAATTTTTTTCTAGTGTGTTTTTGGCAAAAAAATTGACAATTGAATTTTCAATTTTCCAAGCAAAGGTAACCACCACCTATTCAACAAAATGATGATGTTTTTTTGTTTCTCAATTTAGACGCATCAATTTACAGAGATAAGACTTATGTGTACCATCATCATCAGTGTGTATTTTTGTTGCGAGCATTGACGATTGTTTTTTTTCCAGTCATCATTATGTTGTTTAGTAATCAAAGGTTATATGATGATGGACACACACACACACACACAAACACAAACACAACAAAACAACCTTTTCATATTTTCACATCAAGTACAGAGTAACAACAAAATCATTATCATCATCAGTGGCAATCATCATCATCATTATTGAATATTAAATAAATGAGTGAATGGAACCATCACCAGTACAAGTGAATATTTTTGCAAAAGCAAAGCAAGTATTTTGTTTCGTTGGATAATCATACATTATTTGGATGTGTATAGTGTGTGTGTGTTGATACAGATATTACATTATTACAGTTATTTGCTGATGTTGTGGATGATAATTACGATGCTAATATGATGTGTATGTGTATGAAATGTTGAAATTCATAATTATCATCATGGACATTATTGGTCAAGTTGGAATTGTTCTGCTTTCTGCTTATTCAATTATTAGTTTGTCTGTTTGTTTGTTTGGTTAACATTAACATTTGATTGATATTAAAAATTTATTATTTGATCAATGAAAATTGCAAGTTTTTCAAATTTTCAAAAAGCCAATTTGAATTGTTAATTCATCCATGCATCCATGTATGTAAACGCAAGCAACACCTAAACATTGTAATCTTGTTTTATTTTTGCGAATATCAAGTTCAGATCATCATCATCATCTTCAGTATAGTGAGCATCAATTAGCTGAAATTATAATCACAATGATGTGATTTATAGATATTTTCCCTAAATTGATCATTGTTTATGAGTAATCTATAAATGATAATTTTATTCAAAAAAAAACAAAGAGAGAGAGAGAAGCAGAAAGATGTTTTGGTGTTTATAGAGTTCATCATCATCATCATCATCACATAGTCATCTCTGTTTGTTTTACCAGATTTCATACACAAACTAAACCAAACCAAACATCCATCTATTCATTCATTCATTCATTTTTGTTTGGTTAACAATATAAAAAGGCAGTCCTTTTTTTTGTTGTTTGCTCACTATTATTGGTATGATAACAGCGCATGTTTTGAAAAAAAGTATTTTGCTGCCGCTTCCAATGCTGAATGGACGAAAATATTTCCTATTTGACTTTTAATGTTTTTGTTTTTTTGTTTTGTTTTGTTATGTTTTTGTCATGGATATTTCATTTCAAACATTTATTTCTTTCTCATTATCTTTTGTGTGAATTAAATGAATATATCTTGGACACACATTTATCAAATGATCATTAGCAAAATAATGGAAAAAAGCTAAGTAGTTAGTATTCTGTTTTGTTTGACTCTGGTTGGTTGAACATACACACATATCATGATGATGGTGTAATGGTCAATGATGATGATGATGATGATAATGATTATATGATGATGATCATCATCATATAATCATAACCAGCAGCAGCTCATCTCCACCTCTTCGATTTTTGGTAAATGCAAAACAGAAACAGAAACAGTAATGAAACAAAAAAAAACACAAGTCACAAAATGTCTTTCAAGTGTGTGTGTGTGTGCGTGTACCTTGTTACCTTTTTTCGTTTGTATCATAAATTCATTAAAAGGCAACAAAACTATTACATAAGGTTCTCTCTCTTTCTCTGGCCAATGGTTGTTTTGTTAGTTGATCCCAGGGTATATCAATGATGATGATCATGGTCTAATTGAATATAAATTAAGATCAAATATCGATTATGAATGTTGAAATAGAAAAGGCAATGATAATAATAATAATGAGATCATATCATTAAATCAAATCAAATCTTTGTTCCGGCCAAACAAAATATTTGTTTCGATTAAGCTAGCCAATCATTGATTGTAATGAAGAAATCTTTGGATGGGGAAATTACAAATTCAGAAAATATCGGATCATGTCATGTTTCAGTAAAATGTAATTCAATATGGCAAATAGAATGAAAAAAGGCCATAATAATTAACAATTGATGAACAGAAGCAGAATGGAATGTTTTGCACGATTGTAATATTTTTTTTTCTTTTGTGTATGATCAATTAAAGAGCCATTTACTACTTTCTATCACTATGTATGTATTCACATTACATAACATCAGAATATACCGGATACTATAAATACATTCATATGTGACAAAAGTTGACAATCATTTCATTTTATTCATTGGCACTTTTGTGCAAACTGAAAACTGATTTTCAATTCAAAATAAAACCTATTTAGAAAACTAAAGGAAATGAAATTTCATCATCAACATCATTGGGTTCTTTATTTTTTTTTTTGCAAAATTATGATGAT